AAAAAAAAAAAAAGAAAGAAAAGAAAAGTTTAAAGTGGAGTAGAGAGCTCAGAGAAAGCTTTTAGTCCAGACCTCGAAAAATATATATAAACTAGCAGGCAAAGAGGGAGAAGAAAGGTGCTGCAGGCAGAAGGAGCACAGACAAGGGCCAGGGCAGGGGTTCCCAGCCTTGGCTACGCATGAAAATCACCTGTGGAGCTTGTTTTTTTAAAAAAAAAAAACACTGATGTCCAGGATTAAGACTCAGAGGTTCTATGTGTGTCTTTAAGTTCTAAAGGAGATTACAATGTTCAGCTAAGGTTGAGAATCACTAGTATAGAGGCAACAATGAACAAAGTCTGTTCAATGGAACAATTAAGGCAATCGATTTTTTCAGAGATAAAGGTTTTCATAGTAGATGAGTAAAAGTTGTGACTAAATCTTTGATTATTACCTTTAATGCTAAGCTAAAGAATATGGACTTGATTCTGCTTGCTGGGAGGAGCCACTGGAAAGTTGTATGCAAGAAAATGGCATTGAAGTAGCAACAATTTGCAGGACGAACTATGGCAACAAAGAGCCTATAGGCTATAGGATATTTAGGTAAAAAGTAATAAAGACTTGAACTTGAGTAGTAGCAATGGAAATGGAAAGAAACAAAGCAGACAAGAGACGCATTTTAAAGAGCTATTTTACAGATTAAATCAATAAAACTTAGTAAATAACCAATTGCTAGGACAAGGCCATCCTGGCATACAGTAAGCACTGAATAAATATTCACTGACTGACTGATACAGAAGAACATGGAATCAAAGATGACCCCCCGGCAGGCTAGAAGAATTGTACTTCATTAGTAGGAAGTCAAGAGAAGAGGTGGCTGGGGGTAAGAAAAGTAGGCCAGGAGCTAGTGTTTGCTTTTGGCGGCTGGCCAGTAAGGGGATCCAAACCCTTGAACATGGGAGTTGAGTTTCAATTCTAAAGCAATATATGAGAAAATTTAAGACAGCATAGCACAGACTAGATAGAAACTAAAGAAAGTCATAGTACGGAAAATATGTTTGTGAGAGAAGTTAGTCAGACGTTGAAGCCTAAGGAAATGTAGGATTTGTGTCACATAATCAGTCTTAAGACTAAAGAAGTGAATCTCTAGGCTGGGCAGAGAGGGAAAGGTGGAGTATAGTAGGCAAGGTGAGACCAATGGATGAACTGCTACCCCATTCTGATTAAACTAAACTGGACGCAGTCCTGTCAAGATGGTGGAATAGACAGTCCCCAGCATCACTCTCTCCCACAAATCAACCCATTTATAACTATAAGAAAGCAACAACAGCTAAGTGGTGCCTCTAGAGCTCAGGGGAAGAGGAGGAGAGACCTACAGAGTGTATGAAGGTGGGATAAGCCACAATGAGAGAAAGAAAAACTGCTCGGAAGATTTTGGGCCGTGGCCACTTTAAGGCTGGAGCTGCTGAGTGCATGGAGCGGGAGCCAGCAAAAGCCACAGCTGTGCCCTTCAGATGAAGTTTCTTGGAGGTTGCAGGGGAGAAGAGGGCCATGGTGACCCCCAGGACGTCAAGACCACTAATAGGGTTTCCATGGACCCAGTAGTGAGGAGCTACAACTGAAAAAAAGGAGCCATTCAGAGGCTGATGAGTCATCGAAAGGAACCGGCACATGGCCAGTCCCATGGGAAGCGTTTGGAGCATGGGCTGTGGGGGAGACAGGCCTACTGGAAGAACACTGGGACACAGCAAGGACAGCCAATCTGCTCCCCGATCAGTGCAGGACCACCCAGAGTAGACTGGTCAAGAATATAGAATTGAGGCCGACCCCGTGGCTCACTCGGGAGAGTGCGGCGCTGGGAGTGCAGCGGTGCTCCCAACGTGGGTTCAGATCCTATACAGGGATGACCGGTGCGCTCACTGGCTGAGCACGGTGCGGGTAACACCAAGCCAAGGGTTACGATCCCCT